AATGGGAATGGGGAAGGACTGGCCAGGAAGGAGCACTGGGAAGGTAGGCATGCAGTATTAAAGGAGGGAAGTCATGCATCATGGCTGAGGAGACAGGGGTAGGAAGCTGGAAGAGAGAAAGGAAGTAGGAATGGAGTCCTGGCTTGTGATTGTGGGAGTGCAGTAGAACTGCAAGCGAAGTGTGCATTTAATGGAGAGGTCTTGGTACTTCCTAATGCCAACGTGTCCGAGTTTTTAGAATCATTGAATCACAGAATGGTTTGGATTAGAAAGGACCTTTAAGATCATTTAGTTCCAATCCCCTGCTATAGGCAGGGACACTTCCCTCTAGCCCAGGTTGCTCACAGCCCCATCCAGCCTGGCCTTGAATGCCTCCATGGAGGGAGCATCTACAACCTCCCTGTGCCACTGTTCCAATGCCTCACCATCCTCATAATAAAGAATTTCTTCCTGATATCTAGTCTAAATCTACCCTCTTCCAGTTTAAAGCCATTTCCCCTCATCCTGTCACTATCTGCCCTTATAAAAAATCCCTCCCCAGCTTTCCTGTAGGCTCCCTTCAGGTACTGGAAGGCCACTATAAGGTCTCCCCAGAGCCTTTTCTTCTCCAGGCTAAGAGCCCCAACTTTTTAATGAGTGGATACCTTGCTTGATATACATAAATATGGAGAGGTCATAAACTTAACTTAGAAACTGTCCCCAGATGGATGTATGTAGTCTATATACCAATAATCTCAGGTAGTAGGACTTCCTTTACAGAATCAGCATTGCCACAGCTAGTTATCTTTTCCACACAGGCAATATAAATTAATAATATAAAGAAGCATGGAGCCAATCATCAAGAATCACTATGAAAATTCCACACCCAGATTTCCAAGTCGGGATACCCAACCTCATCTTTGTAAACAAATCTCATCACAATCTTCATATATACATCAGTCTGTTCCATTCTCTTATTGCATATGGACTCTCTCCTAAATCAACACCCTAGTCTCAAAACTCTCTAGTTTCTTGCATCCCAGCTCACAAGAGCACAGCCTCGTTTATACCACCTCTCAGTACCCCCTTCAGTATCATAACACTTGCCTGTGGTCTTAGTTAAAGAGGAGATCTCAGCACTGCCTTCAGAGCCTAAGCAGAGTAGAAGGCAAATGTCTGTGCATCTTCTACATGTTTGTATCCACGAAACATACAGGCATGGGCAAATCAAAGCACCTAAGACATTTCATGTCCCACTTTGGACAGGTCTGTGATTAACTGTTTCATCAAGACATGGCTTAGTAAAAACTCCAAGTCAGAATAAAAATCTCTTACCTTTCCAAGTTCCTGATCAAAATCCTCTTTTTCTCGTGCAATTTTTGATTGTGCAAGCAGTAGCTCAGAATCAATCTGATTTCTATTAAACAAAGTCAATTTGGACATATTAGATGAACATTAACACAAGATTATTAAAAGCTATCATATAATAGCTTGGGTTGGAAGGGAACTCAATCATCATCAAGTTCCAGCTCCCCTGCTGCAGGCAGGGTTGCCAACCACTAGATCAAGTAGACCAGGCTGACCAGGGCCCCATCCAACCTGGCCTTTAACACCTCCAGGGATGGGACATCCACAGTCTCTCCAGGCAGCTGTCCCAGCACCTCACCACCCTCCCAGAAAAATGGGCCCTTTGATATAAATGTAAGATATGTGAATGTCTGCATGCATTTGAGATCTATTTCATTCAGATATTCTTATTCATTACTTTCCCTTAATATACCTGATGAGAATGAAACCTGCAAAAAAGTTAAAAGACATACAGAACCACCAGGCTTTCTATTGCTAGATCTTAAAATACAAGTCAAGGAAGGCTTGTGGGCAGTATTTTCTATAGACAAACTGATAGAATAATTATTCAAACAGCAAGCAGACAGGCCTTCAGGTAAATAAATCCTACCAGCAAGAGGTCTACTGATTAAAATGGTAGAATTTGAGCATGGATTTATCCTTTTTGCTTCTGATGGACATTGTGCCACTGTATGTTTTACAGGATGTGGTCAGCAAAAGAGATACTAATTTCCTTTGACTATCTTCTAAACAAACTGGGAGTCATGGGAGAAACAAGAGTCAACCTAAAGAAGTGCCTAAGGAAAGAAATGTGATGCAAAGAAAGAACAGATATCACAAGGGTGTCCTTTTGTATAAAAGGCAAAACTCAAAAGGAGCAAGCTTTGAGATAATGTGCCAAATACTGTGAAGAAAAAAATTACTGGCCAGATTCTTTCTTTAACTCAGCTGCTTAACTCGTCTGCTTCATCAAATAATGGAATGAGTTATGAAGGAAAAGCACTCTGAAGGAAATAAAGACATTCATAACATCTAACAGCTTCAGAAATTCACTGGAATGAGAACAGAAGGACAATATGTTACAATGAGGCTATAAAATTCACCACAACCCATGAGTCCATGGTCATTCACCAAGTCACAACTACTTTTAGGCCCTTTAAATGTGAGCATAAACAAGCTCCCTAGCACAGATCCTCCTACTGGTACTCCAGAGTGTAAAGATAAGCAATTTATAACTGTTTGCAGAAGCAAGAGCCGTGACCAGATGGTGGCTGCAGCTCATTTCTTTACAGTAATTACACTGTTAATTAATGGCAGTACTCATTTCATGAAGACATTAATGGATTTGTTCTGCCATCAAGAAAAATATTAAAAGTTCTGAATGATAATTTTACCCATGTTTCACAGAACTCTTATTTTCTTCTTTGTATGGGTTCTTAACTCATCTTGTAGAGCAAAAAGGGTTCAAACAGGAAACCAGGACCATCAGAAAATCTCATTTTTCCCCATCCTCTTCAGTTGTATAAACCTTCACACAACCAATGGCAGAGACAGAGGGGAAGCAGGGGAAGCAGCACAGATCTGTCCTTGGTGATCATACATTGAAGCTCTCCATGTTAAGCTCCATTGTGTGCAGCAAACAAGCCCACAGAATGACATCAGATTTTTATTTTTTTTTTTTGCTTATTCACATCATTTGCTACATTTTGTACCTCAGGGAATGTACAGCAAAAAAACCAAAACAGTTTCTGTCCCAACAAATAACTATACTGCAAAATGGTAACCAGTGCAGAGAGCAACAGCTGATAGAACCAGCCTGTGCTGTTTAACTGGGTGTAGCTCTAGTCCAAAAGGAACTTTCACTGATTACTGACAGCTAATTCGGTTTAAGCCCCAGCTTAATCCAAAATCTTCTCTGTATACCCTTGAAGCCAATAGAAAGACTCCCATCTATAAAGAGAATTTTAGCTATTTTACAGTGTTAAGCAATTCACAGGCTTCAAGGAATTTGACTGGTTCTTCATAAACGTTGCTGTCACCTTTTCCAGTGAAAACACTGATGCAGGTTCAGCAGAAAGATCAGCCCAAAGGATTTGTGAATTCTTACTTCTTTTCCAAGGCCGCTGCCATGTCTGCCTGTTTGAGATCCATCTTTTTTTCCAAATGTTCCTTCTTTTCTTTCAGTTTTGTGATGAGAATTTCCTCATTATGTATTGCCTATAAAAAATAAATCAGATTACGCCAAAATAAAATACATTTTTTAAAAAAGCAGACAATGAATCCCTTTCCTGCCAGCGATCTTTAAGATTTTGTAACATCTGAATGGGATTTTCTTCTAATGTTTTCTAGGAAATCTGAGGTTTCACAGTCAAACAACTGTCTGCAAAGAAAGAATGCTGAGGAAGCAGTAGTTAAGGCTGTATTCATTGTATCTATCTAAAGATACCTACGATCCCTCTATTCTCAAAGACTCACAATTCAGTAATTAGACAACAATGCCAATCAGCTAACATGTAAGCTTATTTTCCTTCTTAAAAGGTAGCGTTTCACTCTAAATTCCTCTCACTTTGACCAATTTTGAAATTAAATGTTGATCTTTGCACTAACAATGAACCACAGCGACTCTGCATTGAACTTACCGTGGAATTCAGACTTATCTGATGCTGCAGGTCCAATAATTTTATATTCAGGTTTTCAAACATGTGCTTTTTTGCCAAAGTTTTTTCCTTTTGAGCATCAAGGATTTTTTTCATTTCTCTGTTCTGCATTAAAAATAACACAATTAATTTGCTCTGAGGAACACACTACACATTGTTTAAAAATTTATATTAAAGCATCTGGAGCCTTTCAAAATTAAATGAGCACAACATCTACATTGGCAGAAAATAAACTTCTGCCAAAGCCACAGCTACGTACCAAAGGAATAAACTCTATACGAAAAAGAAATAATCAATAAATGATGCAAATGAGGATCAGAACAGGAGGGGATACAACTATGAGGGAGGATAGGAATAAGACAAAGGGGAATGGTTTTAAATTGAGGCAGGGAGGTTTAGGTTGGATATTAGGAGGAAGTTTTTCAGCCAGAGGGTGGTGAGGCACTGGAACAGGTTGCCCAAGGAGGCTGTGGATGCCCCATCCCTGCAGGCATTCAAGGCCAGGCTGGATGTGGCTCTGGGCAGCCTGGGCTGCTGGTTGGCGACCTGCACATAGCAGGGGGTTGGAACTGGGTGAGCATTGTGCTCCTTTGCAACCCAGGCCATTCTAGGATTCTATGATCTCTCAGAAGCTTGTGTGATTTTATTTCAGTGGAAAAACCTGATTATACCTTCCCAGGAACACAGTTACAGTTCTGAGGAGACATATTCTCTACGAGGAAGCTTTCATTTAATCTATTTGCTTGTTTTCATGTTACCATTCAGAAAGGATACCAAATGTATGCAACTGAAAGTAGGGCAGGATGTAAAAAACCAGTAAAACCTTATCTCACAGTTTGGTGGTAAATACAGGCACTTTTATTTTAAGCAGCGTGTCTGGAGGGATGCAATCCCAGCATACAATCATTTGTCCCACATGCAGCAAGAAGAACCAATACAGACACAGCATGAGATGAGCTGGTAGAAAATGGATTTTATAAACTGTGCAGTTTTGGGGTGTGTGTGTGTGTGTTTGTATGTGTACATAAGAAAACCCCCCCCCTCCCCACACACACACAGAGCACATGTATTTACAAGAGCCAATTCTGTGCTTGGCTGCTGTGGGGACCTAAATTACTTGCAAACAAAAACCCAAACACAGCATTTGGCACAACTTCTCAGGGCATTTCAAAACCTTTACCTTTCCATCACACTCTTCCATCTCTTTCTCAAGCTGACTCATTTTTTCAGCTATTTTTTCTTGTAGTTTTTCTAACTCTGTCTTTGCTCTGATTATTTCTTTTTCTGTAGCTCTTGTTTTACAATCAGTCTCAAGTAAGAGCACACTTGTGTTAATTTTTGTTGCCATCCTTTCATTCAGCAAGTCCACTTTTTCTTTATGCTGTGTCTGCAGGCGCTTTTGTTCCTCACTGAAAAAAAACCCAAACCATTAATGTCTTCTGTTACTTCTGTTGCTCCAAATGTTCGCTGAAATGAATACTTGCTTATTCATATGTTGACAACTCAGTCTCTACTGTAAGGCACAACATTCACCAGCAGATGTGATTAAGACCATTTAAGACATTTCACTCTAATAGAGCAGCTTTCTGTTCTTTATATTATTACCTTCTTAAAGTTCTACTTTTTCATAGAATCTCAAAATGGTTTGGGTTGGAAAGGATCTTTAAGATCATTCAGTTCCAACCCCCCGTTATAGGCAGGTACACCTCCCTCTAGAGCAGGTTGCTCACAGTCCCATCCAGCCTGGGACTCCAGTGGGATTATTTTCCAAAAGGCTCATTAAAAATGGAAGGACTGCCTTCAAGCACCAAACAAATGCAGAAAGAAGACTTCCCCTAAGAAAATGCATTTAATTTATTTTTGAACAGCTCTCCATCAGCTTGCCAGGGGGTGACAATAACACAAGATCTGTCAGTGAGAAAACAAGAATCATCTCTGTATCTTTGGGTAACTCTTGAAGAGGGAGCTCTATCAGTTACTAATTCATAGAATGCCTGGGTTGAAAAGGGCCATAATGATCATCTAGTTTCAGGGTTCCTGACTTCTTCTTTTTTTTTCTCTAAACTGAGAGTTAGGATCTTTTCAGTTGTTCCTTAACATAAATCATTGAAAGAGAAAACTCTCCCTTGACAACATAAGAAGCCAGGCAGCAGCCAGCTTTGCCCAGCCAAGCTTATCAGGGTTTTCCAGGGGGACAGGCAGCAGCAAGCAAGCTCTGATGTTCAAGAAACCAGATCTGGAAGAGCAGGCTTGCTGCTGCAGCACAGAGTTGCCTAGAAACACTACAGCTAGCTACAGGGGTGAGGGACAAGCACTGCTCACCATGTTTTCATAACATTTCAGTTCGCCTTAATCACCTTGTCAGTATGTTTTTCCTCTCTCAGATAAATACATACCACAGTGCAGCATTCTGCCTTTCACAAAGGGTTTGTTTCTCATCCAATAATTCAATTTCATAAGCAATGTTTTTCAATGCAGACTGCAGCTGATTCATCTTAGCAGCACCAGATTCACGTGACGCAGCAACAAGAGCTACAAAATAAATACAACACACAGAAGCCTCTTAGCTGCAAAAAGGCATAGCTGAGATAATGCATAAAGGGATTGATTCATAATCTTGGACCCACCGCTATAAGTACTGTCACTTGGCAAGGAATAGCTGTGATTGTAAGGCACTAACTAAATAACATCCCCTAAATCACATGCTTTATTTCAGCATTTCAGTCTTATCACAATTTCCCTGAGTCATCGTCGTTTATCAACAAGAAAAAGTCTGTGTTCTTAGAGAGCCATTGCTCTTTTCCAAACTAAATGCCTACAAAGTCCCCTAGCATACAGTGAAGTGATAAATAGCCACTGAAAAACATCTGCACCAGCAGCTCTGGAAGCTATGGAGAAGGAGCAGGATCACCTTGCTTGAATTCAACAGCATTTCTCCCTGAAGAGCCATAGCTGTGTGAAACTGAAGAGCCCACGTGAAGAGGCTGTGTGGATAAAGCTCTTCTGTGCATGGGCATTGCACTAGAGCATCTTTTCAGCTTCTGAGATAACAGTCACACGAGCATACAACCACCCACCCAAAAACACTTAGAGCAGAATGGCAGCAGCTAGTATAAACAGCCAGCTAGCTGCACTGCAACCATGCTATAGGCAGAGAGAAGGTGAGGGAGGGATCTTGCTGTAAGAAACAAATCAACAAACAGAATGCAGCTGGAAAAAAGAAAACTCTACTAACTCCACTAAAAAAAAAAAACACTCTGCTGTTTCCCAGAGAGCCTAAAGCTGATCTAATTCCATTGTACTGCAGGCAAAGCCCTGCTCTGTAGGTCTCCCTGCAGTGCTGCCATCCCTATGAGCCCCACACTTAGAACCATGCAGCCTCATGGTTACCCTGATAAACAAATCCAACTCTGCTGCTTCTCCTGTAAATAAAAAAATCCCAGTGCTCATCTAGATCAGCAACTTGACCATTGTCCTTTGTGGTTACAGTGCAGTGAGAGTCAGAGCATCATTAAGGTTGGAAAAGACCACCAAAATCATCTAGCCCAACCACCAAGCCATTACCCATGCCCACTAAATCAATGGAGATGAGGTAGCAGAGTATGCCTTGGGAATCTTGAAAGTGAAAATAGAAAAAAGAGAGATCTCAATCTTTATTTTCATCTATTTACATCCCTTCATAGGGAAAGATCGAGGTACTTTGAGCCGGTGATTCTTCTGGCTTGCTTTAAACATCTATTCCACGTGAGATGAATCACGTCTAAGAAGTGCTTCTCTCTCTTCATCAGCTGTAGGAGGCACCTGATTGACATTTGGTCAGATGAGTCCCACCCAAAGTAATGTTTATTATTTCATCATTATTAATCCTACTTCACAAGAAAGGAACTTGCAGCACGGAGCACTCAAGTGCCCCATCACAAACACCAGAGAACAGCTGTGGCACTGCTGCAATCAGAACTAATGCTGCAGTTCTCCCATTGTTCTTCTAGTGCTTGTGTAAGGCCTTTAGTGAAGATGTCTCACTGTTACACAAGAGAATAATCCCTTACAGAGTCACACATCAGTAAACACCCATCTTCATACACTAACAAGTTACTGACAGCCATTTACCATTGCTATTTTCTATTTCAGAGAATTCTTCAAATCATTTACATGCATAGAAAATTCAATTTTCTTCCCTTTCCAGAGCTAGAGAGGTTGGTACTACCTGCCATCTCTGCAGCAATCTCTCCTGGAAAATTGTGCATTCTGAAGCGAAGCTTGCTGTTTTTTATAGTCTCTTCTTCTAGGCATTCAATGGTATTCCTTCGCATTTCTTCCTGTTAATTAACAAATCCGCAAGTGAGAACAAATACAACAGGTGAAAAAGGACTTCTTCCTTACAAACCTTTTATCATCCTTGTTCTTCCTTTCTTCCAGTCTCCAAAATAACAACTTGTTTTACAGGGTGTCACTTTAGCAACAGAAAAGCCTGATTTCCTCATGGCCCAGAGCTGAACAGAGCCTGCAGCTGGCCTTCAGATACACCAGGAAGTCATCTTCTGGTTCACAGCTGGTGGTATGAAAAGGGTTACCTTTAGGGTGATGGTAGAGTGAGAGAAAATGGAGGTGACCAATGGCAGTAAGCAATGGTGGGAAGCAACTGAACCCCAAAAATCACGTGACTGAGAATTTCAGGTGGATTGACAAAGACTCCTCCAGTCTCCAGGAAAATAAGTCAGTTCTTATACAGATTCTCACATCACAACTTATGCACAAAACCAAGCCCATTTTTCTCCTTCATTTTTGCTAGCTGTTACAATCACCAGCAAAGACAGTGCAGAAAAGACACTGTTAAATTTTGCTGTCTACAGAGCAAACTTATATGCATGATGTAAATTATTTGCCTTTCCTTGAGAAGATGAAATATTTAGATATGTTAAATAAATGTATAAGAGGTTCTTAATTTCATATGAATTACATCCTCAATTAGCTGAAGCAGTGAAAAAGAAAACAGCTTCATGAGTTCAGCACGTTATATAAAACACTCATCTCATAAGGCTAACGCAGAGCTGGTCTGAATAGTTGATTCAGAAGCCTACTGATGGAGACAGTTTTTACAAGACTTATAGCTACTTAGACAAGTGTTGCCTATTGTAGGCATGGCGACCTGGTTCGGGAACGGCACGGCGACCAACCCCAGGTCGCTTGGTCCATCAGCTCACTGACACCAATGTGGTGGATGGCAAATGGCCTTTAGTGGCAGGAAAAACAGCCTTTTATAACCTGGGCACTGAATGCTATTGGCTATAAGGAGAGAGACCCTGTCTTCCCATACAACGCGATATCTTCTGGGCGCCAGACCCTCATACAGACAAGTGCCCTATGGAGATGCTTGTTAAAGTGCCTTCTGCTTGAAGCTGTTCTGACTTCAATGACCTCTGAGCTGTTACAACAAAAGTCAGTTACCTAGGAACAGCCCTGCTCAGTTGAGGTATTATCTTCCACCACCACATGCAATACAGGTCTTTCAAGTAAAGAGAAATTATTCCAAACCAACCCCTTTGCACTGAGCTGAAGGGCAAAGCACCTCCTTGCTGAACTCTGTCCCACCTGCTGTATTCACTGACATTAGTGGGGCATCCTCCTTGTAACTTCAAGAGAGAGGAATGCATTTTCTGCACCCACGCTGCCCCATCCCTGGAGGTGCCCAAGGCCTTGCAGGATGGGGCCCTGGGCAGCCTCATCTGGTGGAGGGCAGTCAGCCCACAGCAGGGCTTGGAACTGGATGAACTTTTAAGGTCCCCTCCAATCCAAGCCATTCTATGATTTTATGTTTCTCCCTTGCATAAAGGCTGTTAAGAACATTCTGATGAAAAAAGCTCCAGGCAAGTATAGGCTGCTGCTTTCTAGTGGTTTCTCTGATGCTACCACTAAGTCACTGTAGGTCTGGAGCTTACATCTCTTGAGAAAAAGCAAACTATAAAGATAAGAGTTGGGAACAGAGCTTACACACACCCTCAGTTCCAATTTGCTAACATAAGACTCTTCCTTTCTTGCCTCAACAGAAGTGTGAGCACTCCAAGGTCCACCAACCTGCAGTGAAAAAAGGCATCCACTGCTCCCACATCAGAACACCAGCAGATGAGCTGGAGCTTGGATCAGCTGTGTGCTCTACTCAGGTTGGTTTGTACCATCACAGCCAAACCTTTGCAGACAGCAAGCTGCATGCAAACATCCCCCACCTTTACCCAGCCTGCTTCTCTCTTGGGGTAGAATATAATGTACACAAGAGACCACATGTAAAATTACAACTGTTGGAGACTGATTTTGTTGTTACCAGCCAACTTTCTGCTGTATATCTCAAACTAAGTATTAATTTTTCTTACCAATTTCTCAATAGCAGCAATAGTGTCTTCAAGGTGCTGCACGATTTCCTCACTGAATGCACAGTCTTCATTTTTCACATGTTTTTCTGAAGTAAAAAAGATAGTAAAATAAAAATGGATCATTTTTTCAAAGCTTTAAATACTGCTTTTCTGCTCTGCAAAGATAGTTAAAAAAAAAAAGACTTGCTTAAAAATTATTTGCTAAATCTCTTTTTCATGTTCTAAAGTAGGTCAGCATCTTTCACACTCCTCCTGGTGCACAGAAAAGGCAGATGTGTGGGGCATATGAGGTCCACGGGTCCTGATCAAGTTCTCAGTCCTAAAATGGCTCCAAGTTAAATTCTGTGGAAACCATCTTTTAAGAGAGTCATTGAGAGAAGTTTGCAGAGGTTTACTGAAGTAAAAGCTCTGGATCAGAATAATTTCCCTTTCAGGAAGGTGCAGCTAATCTTTCCAAGTAGTAATGGCTTCATTATGTCTCTTTCCAACAAAAATACTAATCTGGATTCATCAACACCTGAAGTGAGATTTATGTTAGTGTGGAAGCTGCTCTTTGTATTGTTAAATTTAATTTAGCTTGAGCTAGAATAAGAATTGCTGGGATTTTAATTCTTCCAGAAGATTACTGTACCTGTTACAGTGGCATGACATTTTTTGATACCCTGATTTTCGTAAGAGAGACTAAAACACTCACAGGGGGAAAAGAGTAAATTCTTAATCTAAGAATAAGTGGATTTCACCTTATCCTGAAGCAGTGGGAGCAGAGGCACACTGCTCTGCCTGCCCAGCTTCAGGCCTGCTGAGCAGCACCTGCCAGCCCTAAATTCAACACAACGATGTGCTGTTTTCTGGAGAAACACAACAAAAGGTAGGGTGCATCGCACATAAATAAAAATCCATGTTAAAATCTAAGTTCTGCTTGGGAAGCCTTATTTTCCCCAATCTTCTCCCTTTCAGAACCCTTCTTCGTTTCTTTCTGTTTGATCCTTTCGTAAAGCCTTCCTATTTTTTTCTTACGCTATGCTCCAAGATTCATTGTTTGATGCCACCTCCATCACCGTCAAAACTCTTCTCTTTATCAAACCCTTAAGCTTTTTAAGCATAGCACAGAAATCGAAGTGACATGCAGAACACATCAGCTATCCACTTCCTGGCCTCTCCCATTCAGAGCTGGGAGCAAAAACTTCTTGCTCCAAAAACAGCAGCAGTCACAGATCATCCCTTCCACACAGCAGACCATCACTTGTATACCACATTCTTAAAGACTATCAAGCCAGTGTTCCTTCACACCTCCAATCCTTCCTCCGAACTGCTTGGTCCTTACAGCACACGATGCACAGCACCAGGCTGTGGCCAGCAGGGCAGAGCTCTGTGACCACAGCCATTAACTGGTGGGATATTTCTACATCAAATCGGATCTCTTACTACAGTTTATGTCACCCCAAGACATTCATCTCATCTGTGCATGCTTTTTTCTGACCTCTAGGTTTTAAGCTCTATTATGGGACTTTATATTTGTACAGTCTTTGAAACTAAGCTGTTGAGATGATGCCCTGCAACAAAATCAGAAGGAATGGGGAAGCTCAGATCCTTGTTCCACAGAAAAACACAGTCCTTCATTTGACAGCTGAGGCTTCACTTCTAAAGAAGTGAATATTTTGCGACACATCTCTAACCACAGGCTGTGCCCAATCCTGGTAACGTATAAGAAACCAGTTTTGTTAGACAAGAATAACTCTCCATCACAGTTAAACAGATTTGACTGCAATGGAAAGTTTTGAATGTTCTGAAATTGGAAAATTTGAAACGATTACCAGAGGCAACATCCCTCTGTGTGCAATCCATCCTTTGGGACTGCTCAGCCTTAATACTTGTCTGCCCCTACTTCTCAAAGGAATACTCCAGAGCTAGATAAAGCTTGTTTGAAATTTATCTCTTACTATTTAGATTATTTGGTGCCTTTCCTCTAGAAAACTTTATTATTCTTAGTTCAATTTCCTTGCTTACACTTGGAGCAATCCTTCTTTTACAAGATGATTAATCTTTCCTTTTAAAGCAGATTTATTCTGCTTTTAGTCATTGCTCCGTCTCCTTCATAAAGGCCTTCACACCAAATCGCTGATTGCTGAATTGTTCCAATTTTGCATCTCTGTAATCCACTCAGCTACCCTAAAAGCAGAGTGTATTTTCCACAGGAGGCAGAGTGATAAATGTGGTTCTGTTGGTCACTTTATCTTCCAAGAAGGCCCAAACGCTCCATAAGCAGATTTTTGTCTGATACAGCTCAGGAAAAAAAAAAAAAAGCATTAAAGACAATTCAAGAGCTTGTAACTCCTCAATGCCTAAAAGGATTGAATCTGTGCTTTCAGCTTATTTAAAACATCCTTCTTTCACATACCACACCATGTGCTCACGTTAGAGGCTGTGGGGACCACAAGCACCTGCCTCACACCACCTGCCATGACCACAGAGCAAGGCACATTTGCTTTCTTAACATACCACCAGGTTTCAGATTGAAGCAATGCCCCACAATGTCACCATCATGAGGAGGTTTGTGATGCAGGTATAAACTGCAGCTGTCAGTGAAAACGCTGTTTTAAGCCATGTTTCTAGAAATAAGATGCAGTGGAAAGCCTTGAAGAAAAGCCCTAGACATCTTCACATTCGTGCTTGCCAAGATGTCTTGAGAGTCCCACAGAGGAACCAGATGGCCACGTATGTGATAACAAAACCAAGAAGAAAAGGAGGAAATGCTTTAATAACCACGGCAGCTATCTCATTTAGAAACATGCAGCCTGCAGACAGCTCGTCTCCACCAAACACTTGCAGTGACTCCTTCAGATTTTATGTCTCCCACATTAACCCAAAAAACTGGGCTGCAGGAAGGAACAGCCAATGGCCAGAGCAGCCACGGGAATAACATCAGCAATGTTTTCTGAGGATATTTATGACAAAGAACGCTGAGGCTAAAAAAAAAATACTTATTTTCCCTATTAAGCTGCGACCTGTCTTTACAGTAGAAAACATACAGTACAAAATACAGCACAGCTCCAGGTTTGGGGCTTCCCCTGCTTCCATTCATGCCAGGCTGTGGGGTCACATTGGAGGGAGAGCAGCCCACCCTCCCACATGTGGCACAGCCTCATCCTGCCATGGGGAACAGGAGGTGCCTCAGCAGCCCCCCAGGCCCCACGCATGCTCACCCAGGCTCTGCAGGCGATGGATGGCAGCCAGGGCTACCGCAGAGGGTGGCAATGCCACAGTGCCTGGCTCAGGCCTCAACATGGCGGCTGCGGCAGACCGTGCTGTTGCTAGGACACCGGGCACTGCAGACCAACAGCCACTTCTGTCAGCTCAGCTCCAAGGAGAGCACACTGCGTCTGCCTCCAGAGAGACCAAAATATTGCTGTATACCTACAAGTATCGAGGACCACGTATGAAATGGCATTCTTGCAAGCACAGCGCATAAAGCGCTCCCAGACACTCGTATTTAAACATGATAATTTCTGGCCTTGGAGGCTATGCTGGTACCCCAACCTTTCAAAAGCTGCAAGGTTTTGAAATAATAAAGCGTAGATCCTTTATTTGCTGCTCTGAGCCTGCAGGTTACAGCTGAGTTACATTTTGAAGCTTTCCCATGCAGCTGTGGCAGCTAACATCTTTTAAATGCAATCACTTGCATTGGCCTTATCACCTTAAAAATGGGGGCTCTAAGAACAAATATCTTCTATTCAAAATTTAAGATAAAGTTATGAGCGAATGTGGGAATATCAGGTAAAACTACTGATTTGTCCCTGGAGATATTCAGATATGGCACTGGTTGATGTGCATTATCTGAATATTGTCTGAATATTTGTCCCAGTGGGCAAAATTGGTGGTAGGTGGACAGTTGGACAAGATGATCTTAGAGACCTTTTACAACATTAATGATTCTGTGATTCCATTCTACGATTCTTTGATTATTTCCACACGAACTGAGCTCAAAGATATAAATAATCAGCAGGACATCTCTCCTTAATTATCTACAGAATTCAAATGCAAAGTGCTGCAGTTTTCCTCGGGAGATAACCATCTTGTTAAGAGATGGCCCCTTCTTCCCTGCATATTTATGGCTGCTGTCACCTTGCCAGGCTATTACTGGAGACCTTCTTCATTCATGCTCAGTATTGATTTATGGCTCAGCAAGGGACAATCAGCAAAGGCAGCGGCATCTTTCACCTCTGGGTCGCTAAGAAACTGCTCTGGAAATTGCCAGGTGCTACCCTGTATTAAGTGACTTGCTGTTAACTCTATATGGCACTGTCTGCTACCTTGTAGGCTGTAAACTTCTGGTAATGCTCTTCTGCAGGTTGAATAAACTAAGTAGAATCATAGAATCACTGATGTTGGAAAAAACCACAAAGATTATCCAACCCAACCATCAACACATCCCCACTGATCATGTCCCTCGGTACCACATCTACCTTCTTCTTGAACACCTCCAGGGACAGTGACTTCATCACCTCCTTGGGCAGCTGTGCCAATACGTCACTTTTCAAAGAAGAAATTTTTTCCCAAGTACCTCCCAAGTTATCTCCTAGAATCAGTAGACCCACGTCTTTATTCCACTCCAGGCAGAAAAACAGCATCTGGGTGAGCTTAGTGGTCCCTGGACTAGTAGAACTCCTAGCTATAGACTTGGGCTTCTAGAAGACCTATGCTATCTGGCTTAATAAAAAGCCATCTGTGTTTTCTGATTGCAAAATAAGGCCTCATTAGAAAGAAAGGGCCTTCTTTTTCTGGAAATCCTTTGTAGTCTTAGGGCAGGAATCAGGCTTCAATGAACTTGCTGGTTCCAGAGAGTAGGCAGTTTGATACTTGGCCAGCAGTTGAAATTCAGGCACCTCTGGGCCAAGTAAACAAATTGATTTCTATAATGCCAAAGTCCTGGGGGCAAGTTTTCATTTTTTTCAGTGAATTTAACTCATGAACTGGAAATTATACATGAGGAAAAGCTAGAAGTAAATTTCTTTTCAAGCAATCATGCACTCGTAGGTATTATTTTAGCTGTTCTTTCTGTTTAGTTGGTATTAGTTCAGTTAGACTTTATCTGCAGATGTTGCTTTCAAACTCCTAATGAAGACTGGGGGGCTAAATGTGGACATAAAAAGCACAAGCATGAGCAAAGGATAAGTCATAAACAAAGGTGGTTTTACAACAGCAGCGGGGCATTTAAACTACGAGGTACTTTGATTTCTAGCCCTAGACTTCTAGGAACTTATTGCTGCCTTGGTGTTGGAAATAAACTCAGCTCTTGTGTTGATCACTGAATGGGGAAAGTCAAATCCCTGACCAGCTCTTTAGTAAGAGCTGCCAGACAAAGCAGCACCAACTTGCAAAAGCTACCAGCTCTGAATAAACAGAATAAGAGTAGTGTTGGATAATCATTATTTTTCTACACCAGCATTAAGCATCTTAATTAAGCACTACCTAAACATATTTCAGCCTTCCCAGTATTCAGCCCCAGTGACCACACAAAGAGTAAGGATATCCCCCTTCCCAGCCTTCATTTTGCCTATTTAACAAAAACAAATTTTTCCAGCCTCCTTTCCTGTGATGGGCCCTAATTCCTTTGGATACCCAGTAGCACTTCTCTGCCCCACTGCAGCCATCCTCTGTTAGGCCATTTAGGGTTTTCTCATCAGTTTCCAACCATTGACCTTCTAACTTACAAGACAATTGCCTATTCTCAACCGAGGGCATGTTCTTGCACTTGTGATACAAAATATCCAATTTTTATTGGACTTCAAGGCTACTGAGTTCCTTCCACATGGAATCTCATTAACCCCCTCTGATACTTCATTACTTTTAATCTTTACCAGTTCTCATCAGCATCCCTTGCATCTAGTGTATTTTATTTATTTTTCAGTCATTTAGTCAAGATTTGGGAATTTGGCTCATATTTGGGAAACTGCTGATTTCTAACAGCATAAACTGTCATCTGCTCCACAAAAACTCCTTAAAGTCTTCTATTAATCACCATTTGATCTGGTTTGCTTGTAATTTCCGGCACTGATATCAGAGGCTCCTGGTACACGAGTGCAGTACTTTGTTTATTCCTGCACAATTAACAAATGTACAGTTAGAAGAGTGGTGTGGTTAGGATGGTATTTTATAGTTAGAAGGATCATCATAGTGGAAAGTCATAGTGGAAAGAGACAATCAAAAATGAAATGCTCACCTGTACCCTAGGCTCAGAGTAGAAAACTCCAAAAGGAAGAATCTCCAACCAGAGACCCTTCCTTAGAGGCAGTCAGCCCTTAAATGGGGTCTAAGAGAGATGCAGCCAGGCTCCTCCTGGTCACACAGCTGAATTGCCTTCACCTGTGCTCTCAGGGCTGACCCAGTCCTTTCCCCAGGTGCTCAATCAGTTGTTCAGGCTGTGACTCACAGTTCCCATACAATTTCTTTCCCAAAACATGGGTTACAATAGCTCAGCTTAACCTGCACAACAGAGTCCACAGCACTTCGCTGTAGGGGAAGGAAGATTTACTCAAGACTCTTGAGACTGGAGAGCTGTGGGAGTACCTCTGGCTACATGGCAGTAGAAACAATATTTTCTTTTAATTTGCACTATTGATACAGCATGTGAGTCATAGACTTGTGATTGCTGTTGCCAAAGTGGGCGAGGTAAAACTGCATTTCAACTGATAAAGCTAATAAAGCTGTGGATGTTCCTTCCCCAACAAGCATCAGTGGAATTAGGAGGAATGAAACTGGGCCTCATGTCTAACTTGGCAAGCGAAGAGTGTTTTGTATGAAGACATCTGCTGTTCAAGTCATCCCACTGCCTGGATGTTCCTCTTCAATTTTCCTTTTCCACTTCCTTTTCCTATTTCTTCCCCTTCCCTTTTCCCCTCCCTTCCCCTTTATCAGTAAAAAATCACATCCATTAAACATAAACATTTTCGGATTGTTATGGGCTACTTTACTTTGGCTAAATTACAGGGCTGTAAAAAGAAAGAAAACATAACTAATCTTTTCTTTACAGCTCCCTCATAAAGGAAAATGTGTGCAAAATGGCCTTGCAGTGAACAACGATTAGCTTCACTGGTCTGAATTATTTCACAGCTTAAACAAAGAGAGCCACGAGGCTGCATAAATTGCAGCCTTGAGGGTGAATCACTTTGATATTCAGTGAACACAAGAAATGAGTCTGAGCTGCTCGTTCAGCTGCAGACAGGAGGGTAAAGCAATAAAAGTATGTTAGGCACACTTCATCTTTTGGCTTCTGTGGACAGACTCCTCCTGCAGTTCTTTTCTGTCCTCTTATTTTCATGGTCTCTACTGCATCCCCAAGCATTTGGGCTGAGGCAGAGCAGATGTGAAAGGGATAATGAGGTGATGGGAACTGTAGAAATGAGCAGATCTCAATCAGTAGGGGCTTGCCCAAGTGTTATAAGGTCCACCTGCCCACAAAGCCTCAGTATCTTTCCCTGTCCTGGTGCAGGGCAGGGTTTTGCCCCTCTCTCCTGTAAAGGCACTGAGCAGCAAGAAAGCCCAGCAGAAAGAGGCTTCTCCCCTATTTTGTGAGGCACTGCAGCTATTGACTCTTACCAGCAAACATCTCTCCCTTACCCAAATGCCATATGTCCCACAACAGCAGCCGGTCTCACCAGCTTCCTCCATGCCAGCAGCCTTGCTCCAATCATTCCCTCCTTCCCAGGAAGCTCATATGCACAATTACTGATGAAGCAGCTTTGAATTCTCTGCCTGAGAAAAGACAATATTAAGAAGATCTGGGAAGAGACACAGAGCACTTGCTGTTTGCAAAGCTGCACTGGGTAAACACAGGAGCTTGCCACGCATTTTCCTGTGCCCATATGGAGAAGGAAAAGCTTACAGGCTTAGAGCCGACCTGCCTGTAACCCAGCAGGACGGGGAAGGGAGCCAGCCGCCAGCTGAACGTGTGCAGGGAGATGGCAAAGGCTGTGGGGAAAAAGACAGCCTCTCTTTATCTGGATTAGCTGCTCACAGAATATTGTATCTTTCTTCTCTCCTTCAAATTGCAGGGCTTTCGTGACACTAATGTGTTTAGGATCTTCCTCCAACTAGATTAATGTTAAAGAGCAGAGGAAGCGTAAAAAAGATCAGCAGCAGCTCAGACATAAATACATAGGCTAGAGGAAGAGTAAAATACTGCTGAACACTGAGAAGCAGGGGTGGTGCTGCACGGAGCCAGGAGTTGGACTTGATCATCCCTATGGTCCCCTTCCAACTTGGGATATTCCATGATTCTAAAGGCAAGAGCATTCCTGTTCTGCGGGAAACCACCAATGGAGTATTCATTTCAAGGCATATAGACAGGAATTCTAGTGACATGAAGCATCAGCAGAGCACTTCTATAGCTATTAATCACCTCCTTCATAGGCAGTAACTTAAGAGAAAAAGTTGCTGGAGGATAGAGGTGAAAGCTTCACGAGCCTTCACTCCCAACGTGCACAGGGCCTCTGTCACACCAAGCTGTGCAGCAGGACCATGCCACAGAGGTTTGCTAATAAGGATTATAGAAGTGTCAGGCATGATGGCTTTCTGCATACTTACATCTTCAAGGCTATGCTGGGAAGTTCTGCTGTGATCCCAGCTCCAGCATGGAACACGTGAAATCCAGTGTCCTCTAAATTGTTTCTACCCACAACACGAACCCATCCTATCTCATTCACGTGCAGACTGATACTGACACATATATTGGAAGCTAGGGGGCTTCAAGGAAGCTTGGGTGCTGGTTTGGAAAGACTCAGTGTGAGATGAGAGAAAAGTAAAGAAGTGTGGGTGGGAGAGATGGCTTGCAGGGGTACAGTTGGGGTGATAGGGCCTGGAGCAAGGGTGATGCTGGAAGGGACAAAAATGGGGGTCTTGGGCTTTCTTGGTTTAAACTCTTAAGAATATTTGGTCTCTGCTAGAAGGTTTTCTTTTTATCTTACTTCCAAACTTAGAGAAGATGTAGCCTTTAAGTCCTGCTTAGAGTTCAATACTACAAGAAGCTAGCCTTGTGTGTAACTACGTTGTTGGTGCTTGGAGAGAACATGGTTATTGGACCAGTGGGGTGGGACAGTAAATGTGGTCATTGTCAATATTACTCTCCTGAGAAGTACAGGACACCCACTGGCCATTTGAATGCACTTGTAGGAAAGCCTAAGAGGCAGCTAAAGCTGGGGATAGGTGTTGAATTTTAACTCCTGGCTGCAAACCACACATGCTGAAACAAACATATTCCGTTTGATCAAAAGGAACACGTGTGACACTGAGGTGTTTGCTTTTGTCCTTGAGAAAAGATGCTTGTGCCTCTATGCAGGTGACAATTCAAAATGTTCCAGTACTTTTAAATGAGAGCAAAGAAGAAAATTTAAATATAAACTTTAAGTGAAAATAATGGTAGCTGAGACCCATCCCAAGAAATAACTGGCCCAGTTTTCTGCCATCGCCTCCCATACATTTGTGTTATATGTTTGTATGCAGCCAGCCACTGCTACAGCCTGGCCTAGGACAAATGTCACTGTGTCTGGTGTAAGAGATGAAGATGAATTAAGTGAACAAATCAAAGGAGAGATTTCAATTCAAGAAGTTCAGATAAGTGTTTAAGGACTAGAGAAACTGCTGGATAGGCTACATACTGGTGGTTGTGTGGGACTGCATCATTTTGTGAAGTGAAGCACATGTGGATCACAAGGGAAGGGAGAGGGAATGTATCTGTGCAGACTGCAGATGTCACAGTAATTCCAATGGCAACGAGAGGGAGGACTTTTTACATTTAGTAACATTTATTTCTGCATTCGGTATCAAGTACATAAGTGCAAATATTCAGAGTCCATAATTAAGTCCATTAGGAACTACAGAGAATGTAATACAAATTGTAATAAATTTAACAAGCTGGACCTTTCCAGTTGCCATACATGTAAATCAGCCTGTCAATCCCTTACGACAAAAGTACTGGGTTTTGTTTTTTGTATTTTTGGAGTTATACAAAACTGATTACCATAAGTACCGATTACTGTTTATTTTATTTGTGCTGGAAAACACTAAAACATCAGTCTACAATCTATATAGTTAATAAAGATGAATCCAACCAGCAACCCAGTGACGTAGAAGCAATTTTAACTATTGCATCAGTGCGCTAAGCAGGAAAGCCCCTAGCCACATGTAACATTGAAAGTTATAGAAGCAATGCCAATAGAAGAAGGAAAAACACTAAAAAAATAAAATAAAAAAGGTCAATATTATTTAGGCGCTCACCATCATGCACTTTATAAGCAACACAAAAAACCACATCTAGTACACTTTTCTCTTTGCTATACTTTAGTGCTTGACACAAGTGATTGCAAATATTCTAAGTGCAGAAGCAGCAGGGGAAAAGCACTGCTTCCGAGTTTCATGTTTCTAATATCATGGTGTTGAGAAATAAAAGAACGATAAATTTGCAGTAAAGTGTAAGAACAGAGCTGTTTCACTCCAGATTCCCCCGTTATTCATTAATGTAGTCGATGGATTCTTGATGTCTCCTTTACTCTGCCTTTCTCTTAGCACCTGGGATTTTAGCCTGAATCCTAGAAATAAAGAAAAAGAATTGCACGTTCAGGCAGTAACTCCATTCCAGCAGATCCTCAGCTGGTGTCCAAGCCAGGGGTAATTGTGATCAGTGTGTTGTGGCGATGGGTGGACTACAGTCTAACAAGAAATAGAGGTGATTCCTTCCCATGCACTCCTATGAGCCCACACTGTAAATGTCCTGGTTGTCAATGGTTATGTAAGCACAGGACATGCTCAGTGATATTCTCCTGCCCTTTGTTATCCTACCCTGGGCTATTGTGTACCGGAAGCCAGGAATGAAGCTTAAACAAAAAAAATTAAGTATAGCCTTTTAGTGCTTCCCAAGGCAATGTGTTTTCAGAATCACAGAACTACTGGCTGGAAATGTCTCCTGGAAGCCTGTCAGTCAGCCTCCTCCCAACTGCAGCAGGACTTTTGCCAATACCAGGTCAGGCTGACCATGGCTCTGTCCTGCTGCACCTTGGAAGCCTCCAAGGAAGGAGGTGCTGGTACCTCCCCAGGCAGCCTGCTCCAGTGCTGTACTAATCTCCTAAAGAAATTTTTTTCCCAATATCCATCATTAACATCTGATGGTAGATTTGTGTGTTGCTCCTTGCAACAAGGAGAGGAGGATGCAGAATCACAGCTCTGCCTCAGCCTACACTCATCTGGGAAGGACTGCAAGCTTCTGCATGCTAACATCTGGGTAGGGCATCACTGATAGGGCACGCTGTCCCCAGGAACACCCAGCTCTCAGCCACCCCAGAATACCACAGCCTCACAGCAAGGTCAAGTGTGCTACTGAACTCACTTTGCCACAACAGTGTTTATGTGGGTCCGCACAAGTCCCAAGTACTGATCAATCTGTGCCTGCAAAAACCAAGAGGAGACAAAGTCAGTGAGGCATTAACAAGTCAGAACCAGATAGACATGGGAGAGCTGCACAGACATACCTGATACTTGTCATATACAACAGGGAGAGTAAACATAGACACCACAGCTGAGGAGAAGAAGAGCACAGTGTTAAATTCCTGCTGATCAGATTCCTCCAGAGAAGAGACCTACTTCAAACAGCGACAAACATGTATCGTGCCACTTGGTCAGCTGATCCACCAGGGATCTTTGTATTAAAAATTAACTTTGCTCAAATCTCCCAAATATGGGTTTTCCATAGCAGCTGCAAAACTGTAAAACACACTTGATTCTAGCAGTATGGATAATGGAATAGGAATAATGAACAAGGGAAAATAAAAATTGGTGGTTTAACTATGGAGAAGGCACAATGAGGAGAAGGCATAATGAGGAGAGGCTATTTTGCCTAAGTAGAAACCACCAGGGAATTGAAATTAAAAATAGATTTTAAAAGAACTGATGATTTTTACCCATTATCAGAAGAGTCAGGCCATTGAAGAGGGCTCCCACATAAGTCAGCAGCCACATTAGTACTGCAAACTAAATGAAAAACAGATCATTACATCATCTCCAGTGTCAGCTAAGAAGAAACGAGTTCACTTAAGTAGCTAATATAATGGCACATTAGCCTTTTTTAATGTGTAAAGGGACTTATTAAGTAAGGCAGATCAGGAACTAGGTATTTTTTCTGGGTGTATAAACCCATTTTCCTTTCTGCAGTTTACCACTTCTCACACTCCTAGCTGAACTTTCATGCATATTTTGGGCTTACTTGCATTCATTTAGGACCCCGCATTGAGCATGGCATAGGTAGATTCCTGCATCCAGTTCTGATGAAGGCAGGGGTCATTCAAACCCCTGCCTGTGGCTGACACCACAGTGATAATTCCAACGACTGAAAACTATTGAGAACTGGGAGAAGGGTAAGTTCTTCTAAAAACCTGTAGTAATTTAGAAGCCTAACCTATGTTTGCTCTTTTAATGATCTTCCCTTTGCTCTAGAGAACATCAACGTGGGTGAAGGTTGAAAATAAGTATCTGTCTCAGCAGGGAAGGAAAGAGGACAATCCTCCACAGAAGGAAAGTCCACAGTTAGGAAAACTGATCACCAGAGGGATTAAAGGGAAGGACACCATTTTGTGGCAAGGTCACAGAGAGCACAAGAGATGCTTCCAGACCTGCAGGAGCTAAGCTGGTCCTCATCTTTTGTAATTCCTGTATTATGGATAAACAACTTCAAGAGCAGATTGCTTAACTAAGCTACTGGAAATCAAATACCAGAGCAACTTTGATATCTGGAGCTACACAAAACTCTGTTTTATAAGGACAGTGTCAACATGGGAAACAGCACTTTGAAATGTAAATTGGTCCTCTAGAGAGGGGTTAAAAATATTGGAAGCAATCCTACTTTTAAAGAATCCACAAGGTCCTGAACGAGAAAGAGTCTCCTCAGCTCTTTGACTGTGCTGTTGACGTATAGCTGGAGACAGTCTGTGTATTTCTGAATCTGGTCCTGTGAGAGATTCATTTCCATATCCAAGTAGGCTCTGCCAGAAACACAGGGCAGTTAGAAACCCAGCCAGGTTCACCACCGTGCACACTTATGCCTGTACTCCCATCACCCCCTCCTCCCCAGCCCTCACTTTTCTATAGCAGGAGCAATGTAACCCCTTCCTGCAGGCACACAGCCACCAGCACACACTGCCTTCACCCTGCCTGTCTGCCTGGGCAACTGCACGCTGCACTGGGACTGCCTGACTACAGCTTTGCCCTGTGCCCACGCAGATCCTGGCCTGGATGGGCTCTCTCTTTACGTCTCCAAAATTAGGGTGCAAATCCTCACTGGCGGGGTTCCCCACAAACTTCTGTGCAACACTACTGTTGCAGAAGGGGACTCCTCCAGTTAGCAGCCTCTGGAGGAACAAGTGCTGCTGCCTAGCCATGTGTCATCTTTGGGACCGCTGTTGCCCAAGGCAAACTCATCCCCTTCTTGCTCCTTCAACCCTCTGCCTATCCTACAACTCCCACTAAGCTATGCTCAGATTTTGAGTCCCAAGTAAAAACAAGGGAGCAGCAACCCAGCTAACATCTTTCAGGGTGTGCTGGGAAGCCACATCAGTTCCCTGAACTGGTTCATGGGCTCACTGGCACAGCAGAAGATGAAGCTTCCCTGATCAGCTGGAACAAACATCCCAGGAAAAAATGTCCATGTTTCAAAGGACAAGTGCTTTCACGGATTTTTATCTCCCCTCCTCCCAACCCCCCCCCCTTTAGAATCTGAGCCAATATGACTCTCAAGACTCTGGACAATGGAAACCCCTGTTATGAGCAAGAATTTTATAGAGCAGCAGCGGAAGAAATGTGACTTGTCACTAGGAATGCATCCTCCAACAGACACAACAGACACCTGATCCCCAGCCACGACCACAAAGCACTCACTTGAAGGGATGGCCCTCGTCAGTCTTCTGCACGGCCTGTAGGACTGATTTGTAGATTCTGAAGCTAATGGTGGCCGAGAGGCCGGCGAGGGCCAGGTAGGCCACAACACTGACGACGCTGAACTGGGTCAGGGAGAAGAGCAGCAAGAGGAGGCTGCCAAACACGATCCCTGTCTGCTTGATGTCGCGCCAGTACAACAGGTTGATAGCTGGGGACAGAAGAACAACATGTTAATGGTAGGAGCTAGGAGGGCCTCAAGATCACTGCCATGCCTGAGGCTTTCACTGGAGGATGAAGGGAGAAGAGGTGCTCCTCCTCACACCAACATCATCAGGAAGTTCCTTGGCTGAGAGCAGCTCAGTGACTTCAGAGGTGGAGGAAAGGAGAACAGATCGCCTAGCTGGAATCCTTGTACTTTATGCAGCTGGATTCTGTCCTCAGCCACAACTTTGCAGAGAAAAGTCAAGAAAAAAAGCTAATAGAAGTTCCTATTTTACACTGAAACTCCGGATATTTACTTTTTGGTCACTAGTCCAAATGTTGTTTTTCCACTTCTGGATCAAAATACCTTCAATTTTTGACTGCTGATAAACAAATGAGAAAGTTTGGGGTTAGCCACAATAAACCAGTTTCCTACTCAACTGTTCAAAGTTTTGACAACATCATTTTGTTACTTCTGAAGTAACAAAACTCCTGGTTTTGCCACTGCTTAATAATTACACGGATAGGAAATCATTCACTTACGTGGGCAGGAAAAATATGGAACCTGGAAATGCAGAGTAATTCCTCTTGCTACTACAAATCTGATCATCTCAGAACTATTTAAAAAAAAAACCCTTTCTTCTTTCCTTGCCTAGATACATGGGAGGTGTTAGGATAAAACAGTGGGAAAAAAAACATCTGCCAACAATATATTTTTACATTTATAAAGGAGGCCATTTTGCACGGTGCTTTTCACTCAGTTTATATCATTTATCCTAGGTACTCCAGCAGGCAATCTTACCAACAGAAATAGACAATATAGGATCAAAATTTTAAGAAATGATCACTGAATTCATTCCACAACAGTGAATTTAATTTATTTACACTGAGAATCTGTTTCTAAGAGGACTCTTCTAGCCAAAGAACAGGCCCGTGACAATCTAAACAAAGCAGCTCTAATTTCACACACTGTCCTCATGAACAGCTTGAGCACGACACAAGCCAAGCATATTTCTTAGATGCCACTTGTCAAATAATCTGAACAAAGAGTAAATTCTGGGCAAATCCAATCTGTCAAAAGAAAATTCACAAATACAAAAAGAAACCACATTAATCCAACATTGTAGTTCTTATCATCTAATCTCAAAACACTGTGAGTCACCACTGCATGTTTCCCTTGAGTCAATGAGCCATTACTCATTACTATTACACACATTAGCGTTGCTTTTCAAAGTAATGGGCTTGAGTGCAAAATTGCTGTTGGATTACTGAATGCAACATTCCCATCCTACTATAATCTCCGTCAATATACACAACATAATGACTCTTTCATATTTCTAAGTGCCAGCTCTGAGCACCGGACCTATGATTGGGAGTGTGTATGATGAGATCCAAGGACTGCATCAAGGGACCAGGGAACTCAGTGGCACCTGCTGAATGTGAGCATGTAAACTGGGGACCTGGCAGAGGCTCTCCAGTTGTATGGCCACATCTCCTTCCTGCAGGAACCCCCGGGCATGGACTGGTGGATGCTCTGAAGATGCACTTACAGCACAGGGCTTGCACTCCCATCAGGGAGGTTGGCAGCAGACACAGCTGTGTCTGTGCAGCTGAAACTCCACAGGCTGCTGCTTGCAGTGTCTCAGGGTTGGAATGTGCATCTTGCAATGCATCCTTACAAAATGGCATCCAGAAGGTAAGTTTTAATGGTGTTTACTGCTTTTCATTCTCTTTTTCAGCGAAGGCGCTGCAAAATTCTGCAGCACAGCACAGCAACAGTGAGCATTTGGACAGGCGGGTATCATTCACAGCTTTTTCTGCTTAAAAATTTCTCTGTCAGAGGACACTTTTGGAAATTTATGTAAATCTCACTTTTTGAGATACTTAAATTCTGTGTTACAAAATATCTTGATATTAAATGGATAGGTAAGCTGGCTAAGGGTGCTGTATATGGATTATCACCTGCAGATGAAACAAAAAGGCCAAGTGCCAGTGACAAATGTTACCTAGCAAGTAGGCAGTAGATAGGCAAACAACTGAGAGCTGAGCAAAACCCATCTCTGCGGAGCTGCCTGGATTAATACTGATTGCTGATAAGACTCAAAAGCAGCAGCTCTTTCTTTCTATGATATTTTGCCTCAATTCCTGCAAGACTGAAGGTGGCTGCATGGATGTTGATTTTCCAAACTGCATTTTCTGATTCCTCTCAACAATGGCTGAAGAGAGATTTGTTTTTGTGTGCATATCCTGCAAGCTGCCCCTTACTGAGATGGCTATGAGGTTTACTAAGGTGTATCAGGTAAGGAAAGCCTTGCCACAGCCATGAGATGGAGAGAGGCCAAATGACACAGTTCTGGGGCTGTGTGCATGCATGGGAAAGGAGATGAGAGGCAGCTGGCCTCTTTCACCAGCCAAATGAGACCTGGGAGGGAGGGATCCTGTGTCTTTTAGACTTGACACAAATACTCCCATGTGCATGGAAAAAATATGTGCCAGCTGAGAGGTGGAAAATCTCAGCAAGGAGGAGGCAGGTGGGGGTCCTTGCATTGTGCCCATGTCCAGCAGCCATCACTCCTGTCTCCAAGGGAGCAGACAGTGGTGCAGGGAGGTGAACCTCATGGCTCACTCCAGCACCTGCTGGCTCCATGACTTCACTGCCCTGCCTGTTGATCCTTGCACACACAGGCTCAGACAAACATCTCCACTGAGCACAAGCTGAGCTAAAGCTGTACACCTGACATCACCATTAGATGCTTTGGTCAATTCTTAGTGAAAAATCACACCATAGGGTCCTGGTGCAGGCAAAGGTCTTGCAAGGCCTGGGCTTGTTGTAGGCTGTGTGGGCACATGTGATACTGCCCAGACCCACGACAATGGCATGATTCTGAGCAATGCATACTGAATATGCATGAAGCAGGAGGCTGGTGCCACGTGAGCCCGTCGCTATGTGATGTGCATGCAGCCAGACAGCAAGTCAATCTGTCTGGCCAAGGAACATATATTTGTGAGCGCTGAAATGATAACTTCAGAGCACTGATGTTATTCAGCAAGAATTTGCAAACACAGTCCTGGAGAACAGGCACTGAAATCAGCCTCAGTTTCATTCAAAACCTTCTGTTTTGAAAACCCCAACTCTAAGTCCTGACCATGCCCATTAACATGCAGCAGCAGTTCTGCTGCAGCTTTTCATGATTTCCCTCCAGCCTCCTGGAAGGAGCAAGCAGAGTCCCTCCCTCAGTCACTTTGTGCCCTTTCCAGTACGATGCAGCAGAGCTCTGGCTCAGTTGTTGAGTTATAAAAGGGCTCTGGGTTTTGCCAGAACACTCAGTCTCCAAAGACTTTGTATTTATTATGGGGGACTCGCCAGCAATCTCTAAGAAAGCAGTGTTGCAGACTGCTGCAGGTCACTGCTACTGTCTTTGAAGAGTTTTTTCTGCAGAAACACATTTGATGAGCTATTTATCTGAAAGAGTTGCCTGTCTGTATTTTTTAACTCACAACAGAACTTGTAAAATTTTACTCAAGTAGCATGAATTGGAAAGAAAAAGCTTTCAGTGGTGCCAAGCAGTGCCTCAGCTACAATTCATAGTATAATTTCATCTTATTAAATGAATGTGAGTTCTTTGTTTGGGGCCATCTGCCAGACTAATGATGTACAAAGGTATATTTTCTGATTTAAGCAATTACCTGTTGATATCAACAGCCAGGAAATACCAATGCTTGCAAGGTAAATTAAAAGTAACCTTCCAAATATGAATAACAGCAGCAGCATGCAATGCTTGTGACAGCAAGAAACTGCTCCTAAGCGCAGTGCCTTCAGCTCACACCATGACTTTCAGCAAAAAATGTTTCTGTCCTGGATATTTGGCATCACAAAAGCCAGAAGAAAGACCTAGGGCTGGAAAGAGCAGTACAAGAGGGTGAAAAGCTCAAGATGGCTGAGGTGGACCAAGAAATGATGCTCCTGATTCTCTTTTCCTCAAGTCCAGGTGGAAACTGAGCTCTGGTGGTTTCTGTGGTCGCCAGAAGCATTGTGATATGGGGCAGCTGCAGCCCAAGGCTCCTAGGAGAAGATTCCAGAGAAAGAATGGGGGATTCTGATCAACCTGTGGCTGAGATGTGTTCCTGCCTTCAGATTTCTGCATGACTTAAAAAACGGGACCTTCCCATTCCATGCCTCAAAGCAAGCATTTTAAGATGAAAATTAATGAAGTTCAGCTGTGTACACTGATCAATTCACATCTTCCACAGGTTCTCCCTGCCTTCTTCTGAAGATCTCTGCTCTCTCCTGATATTGCACATTATTCCTCTACTGCAACAACTGTATGAAAAATGAGCATCTATCAAGCAGAATTAAGTTGGCACAAGAAGTGTGCACAAAAACCTTGTGTGCAGCCTTCAGATGAGAGCCACAGACCTTGAGGATCAAATAAAGGTTATATGTTTTCAGCATACTAATAAACCCGTGGATGTGATCAAGCTGCCATCCCAACAGTGGAGGTCCCATTGGGCCTCTTTAGGAGGTAAAATCAATGGGCTGTACAGCTTCATTCCCTGTAATATTATTATTAATGAGAACTGAGAAAAAGTCTTTTATTCTGTATACAGTGCAATACAATAGAGACTTCATAATACATTTCCCAGGCCTACTGGCAGTGAAAGACTTAGGAAATCCAATTTAAGAAGGGAAGTCTTGTTTATAGCATTGCTGCAACAATATCTGTCAAGAAATATGACTACTAGAGATGAGTCCTCAAGAAGAAGTAAATACTGCTTGTGCTCAAAGAAATGCCACTTCTCAGTTTTAACCACAGGGTGTGGGGACATGATTTCCTTCCTCTCTCCAGGGGAGGATCCATAGCCTTTGCTCCCCTTCCCACAACAGATCTGATTAAAACAGAATACAGATGGATAGAACATTTAATGAGCAGTCTGGTGCCTTCAGAAGACTGCTGTGATCAACAGCAGAGCCAAGGCAGAGCATTTGTTTTGTTTTACGAGGCATTT